TTTCTATGTTGGTTGATTTAAGTGAACTTAATTAATCATTGCAACATTCGAAATCCTAAACATGCATCTAACATACCATTCATTCATATATAAACATAATGATATATTGAAAACATAAGTAAAAGATGCATTTGGCAACTAGCATGACCCCTTCAGTCTTCGAGTCTTCAAGGGTCTTCATTGCATCCTCTTGGCTTGTCCTCTTAGAAACGCCGTCTTCGAGACATCTCCACCAAATATGAAACTACTAATCATTATGACTAGGACCAATTTAAATATTAAGGTACAAAAATACGCAACGGTACGCATACCGTATTTAGATTTACAAAAATACATAATGGATCGCAATCCGTATTTACTACCCTTATCGGGCCCCACTAGTTTCCATTTTCATAAAAACTGTGATAGAATATACATTCCATTCATCCTTCACTATATGTGAATGGCCCATGCATTTAACAGAAAAACAAGTAACAATGCATAACACGCGCAAACTAGTCAAAGTTGTTAACCGATTATGTGATTAAATGCAATAAAATTAGTTCAAGTAATTAATGAAGCTCCCACTAAATTCCACATCCAAATTAATTAATCCAATTAATTAAGTCGGTTAACCCAAATTTGCCAAATTATTTTGCAAGTGCCGGCAAAACCGAGGCCTAGCCTCTTTAAAAAATCGCAAAACACATATCCCAACGATGCCCAAGTGCCTAGCACCAAGCCCCGAGGCTTGGTGTTCTAGGCACCAAAGCGCGTCTGCCATGTGTAGCTGCTGCCCACGCACACCCCTTGCTGCGCTAAGCATGTGGGAGTGGCTGACAGCATCGCTCGCGCTTTATGCTGGCCACATCAGCGTGCTTGCGTGCAAGCAAGAAGTGGCCTTAAAGGCCCTAGAGTGTGCTGGGTTGTTTTGCTCAATGCCGCACACTACAGCAGTCCACACACCCACATCGTAGCACCAAGCGTGAAACTAGCTCAAGCATACCACACAGCAGCGCACCTTCGAGGCATGAGCAGCCCACACACGCACCTTGGCAGCTATGTGGGCTGTGTGAGCAGCCTAGCTAGCCAAAGGGTGTGCTTGGACAGTCTTAGCCTCGATTTGCGTGCTCTTAGCTCGGGATTAAATCCCCATTTATGTGTGATATTAAGATTAATTCTAAATTTATTTTAGAACCAAGTTTGAGTAAAAATTAAAAATAAATCAAGTCCAACTTAAATAAATTCAATTTTAGTGCACAAACCAAAATTAATTCAAGAACTTTCATTACATTATTTTTAGTTCATCTTGATGCTACAAAATTGAAGGGCTATACTCACAATTAATTTAACCATACATAAATTAATAATGAGATTTGACAAAATTAATGGGTTTGGTGAAATAAACACAATCACGCAATGATAAATTTCCAACACTAACTTGTGTAAACTTGAAAAAATACATCTTCCAATATGAAGAATAATTAAATTTCAATCATAAGTTTTGAACTTTTAAGACTTTAATCAAATGAAAAATGATTAAATCCAAAATTAATTCAACATGGAATTTAGAAAGTTAAGTTTCAACCAAATAAACAATTAAAGATTGGATCTTTAACACTTTTAGGGACTTCAAAATTACAAATTCACCATAAACATTCACACTTGAAGCAATTAATTTGCAAAAATGTGAAATTGCAAGTTTATGTGAAAAAATGAACTCGCCAAATTAAGCACCAAATATGACTTCATAAACATGTTAAATAAGGGTTATTACTGCAGTAGATTAATGATGTAACCATACACATAATCTAACATTAACATGCCATGATTAATCAAGGTTTAAAGATTTAAAATTTTTCATTAAAAACGAAAAACCCCTCGAAAAACATGTTTCCGGGTGGATTTTGGCTTCAAGACAATTCACAAAGAGGGTCAAATACGATTTAGAACATCGATTCCACCCAAACTTCACTACTTTTTGGTCGAAATCTGGATTGTTGAGCCAAAATTAGTATAAATACGAGATTAAAACTAATTAAAACGAGCTTCTAATCTAATTCGAAAGCAAAACCAGAAATTTAAATCCATTTAAATCACCTTAATTATTATTAGTTACAATAATTAAATGAGCGCGGCTCCGACAGCGCTATTGAGTTTCGTAGTGTCCAACACTATACGGAATAAAACCCTCCCAAAATCCGCACACAAATTAAAGTAACTAAACATGCATATTAATTAATTGACAATCACATAATTATTTAACAATGAGAGAGAAAGAAGAAAAGACGATCTTACCCTTGACGCGTGCTTCGCTCTTTTTAAGAGCTCGTACTCCAAAGTGTTTGCTCCGCAAATGCGTAAGCCTCCAACAGCTCTCACCCTCGAGACCCGACCCGAACGGTCCCTACCCCGAAGCTTAGTCGGGGCTAGACCAAGAAAACTTAGAGTATTAGAATTAAGGTATTCTCTTCATGGAGATCCCTTAAAATTCACTAAAAGGAATGGTGTCCTTCCAACAAGTGTATAATTCCGATAGAGGGTTCGGAATTATTAGAAAGCTAATTCTTCAGTGAGGTCAAGTGATCGGAATGCCTAGGTGGAGGCCGCTTCTGTAATATTAATGCATAATTAATATTACGACTTAATCTTGACTGAACCCTTTGGGTCGTACCGCTATCGAATAACCGATCCGAGATGACGAATCAATTCGAAGGATTAGATGAGTCATTAGAGTATTACGAACAAATACGTCGGATGTCGAGCTTGGAGCGTCGAAACCGAGCGTCGCAAGTCGAGTCGAGTCGAGTTTAGAATTTGACGAGACGAGAAATCAAGCAAGCGACAAGTTAGAGTTAAGCTGTAGCCCCGCACTTGCCTAGCAATGCGAGTGCTAGGCTAGCTTAAGATGCCATGCGCATTATTACGCATACCGCAAGCCTAGCATGCATTGCGTGCTAGGTTAAGCATGTTAGCAAGGCTGGTGCACTAGGCCACAAGCATGCTAGCATGCCAGTGTGCTAGGCCACGCACCAAGCCGCAAGCATGCTTCGCATAGCACTCGCACAGCAGCAAGCTATGCGTGCTTGTGCTATAGGTTGTGCATGCTGGGCATCGCATAGCAGTAGCGCAATCGCTAGCAAGAGCATCGCAGCAGCGTGCTAGGCATGCTGGGTCGTGCATGTATGCTAGCGCAGCAGCACCAAGCACCAGGCCACTCGCACAGTAGCACGCACCAAGCAGCATCGCATGCGTGTGCGCTTGCTGGTTGCGCGTATGTTACGTGTTGGTTGCCTGGGCTGCCTAGCCTTGGTGCTAGGCGCCAACTGGCAGCCTTGGCAACCAAGGCAGGCTGCCAGCCATCCAAGTGGGGAGGTGGTGTGTGGTTTTGTGTAGGGACTGATTTCAAGGGCTTGCTTGGTGAGCAAGGGGATTTGATCCCCCCCCCTGAATGGTCCTCACCTACTCTCTCCCTCCATGTGACACTTGGAGCTTGTTGATTGATCTTGCATTTTTATTTTGCTTTTGATTAAAATAAAATTGAGGAAAATGCAAATCTCCCGCATTGATGGGAGAAGGGAGATCAAGTCTCCATTCCCTATAAATACCCAAGTTTTGGGTTTGGGAAAAATTACTTGAGTTGAACACAATAAGGCATCTCATCATTAGTGAGAAAACCTTTAAGTTCGTAATACTCTAGTTTTATTTGGTCAAGTCCCGACTAACCTTCGAGATTAAGACCGTTCGAGTCGGGTCGAGGGTGCGAGCTGTCGGAGGCCTACACACTTGCGTGGCTCGTGCTTTAAAGTAAGAGCTTGTGAATCAAGCGAAGCACGCATCAAGGGTAAGAATGTCTTTTCTCTTTCTCACTCTTATGTTGCAGAATATGTGATTGCATGTTTAGTTGCTTTAATTAGTGGGCGAGTCTTGGGTGGGTTTCTCTTCCGCGTAGCGTTGGACTTTACGAAACCCAACATTCACAACTCAAGTGTCCTTTCCTAATCCTAAATGATTAGTATTTATAGGGAAGGGAGCTCTTAAATTCCAATCTCCCACCAATGTGGGAGAGTTGGTAAAATGCACTTTATTCAATTTACTTTTAATTCAAAAATCAAATTGTAATGCAAGTGAATCAATATACTCCAAGTGTCAAGAGGTGAGCATGGGGTTAGGCGAGGACCATAAGGGGGGGACCATCCTTCCCTTGCTCCCCAAGCAACCCACCAAAACCGGGCTCCCCACACATGAGCTAGCACACGCATATGTTGGCTAGCAGCATGCCTTGGCTGCCTAGCACCATAGCTAGGCCTGCCAGCCAGCCCGCACAAGCCTACGCACAACCATCTAACCACGCACGCCATGCGGGCTGCTGTTGTTGCTGCGTTACTTATGCGTGTGCTAGGCACTGCCCAACACGCAAGCACGCATAGCCCATAGCACAAGCATGCATAGTGTTCTGCTGTTGCTGTTACGATGCTCGTGCTAGGCATAGCCTAGCTACTGCTATGCTTGAGGCTGGGCGCGAGGCCCAGCACACTAGCACCCTAGCACGCATGGCGCGCCAGCTGCTAGCTTACATGCGGCCAGGTGCACCAACCCCGCGAGCATGCTCGGCCAACAAGCCTAACATGCACATGCATGCTTGGCTTGCGGCATAGCCATGTGATGTGGTTGGTGCCCTATGCTAGCCTACCTTCACATGGCTAGGCCAATGCGAAGCTACGGCTTAGCTTGAACTTGTCGTTTGCTTGATTTCTCGTCTCGTTGAATTCTAAATTCGACTCGACTTATGACGCTCAGTTTCAACGCTCTAAGCTCGATATTCGACATCTTTGCTCGTAATACTCTAATGACTCATCTAATCCTTTGGATTAGTTCGTCGCCTCGGATTGGTTACTCGATTGGGGTGTAACCCGAAGGGTTCAGTCAACATTAAGTTGTAATATTAATTATAAATTAATATTACCGATCGAAAGCGGCCTCCAGCTAGACATTCCGATCACTTGACTTCACTGAATAATTAGCTTTCTAATAATTTCGAACCCTCTATCGAAATAATACACTTGTTAGAAGGACACCATTCCTTTCACTTGTAGCTATTCTTTGAGCCATTCTTTGAGCCATTCTTGGAGCCATTTTTCTGCATTGATGGTGGCTTCTTTGGGAGATGGTTTAGGCTTTTCAGGCTCAGTTGCTAGAGCTGGAGCGGACTTGGGTTTTTGAGGCTCGAGTGCTGGAGCAGGAGCAGGAGCAGGCTCCTAGAGGTAGTTCTCGAGTGCAAAGAAGCTTTCAGAATCGATGACAAGTATAAGCATGGTAAATACAAGGAAGCTTTGGTGTTGTATGATTAGGCCAAAGCAATTGATTCTAATGTTGCTGCCTATCAAAGCAATAGAAGTGATGTCTTGACAGCCCTTGGCAGGCTTTTAGAGGTAGCTTTCGAGTGCGGAGAAGCTGTCAAAATCGATTCTTCTTATCAATGAGCTCATCACCGTCTTGCATGATTTTACATAAGGTACTAATTAATTTGTTGCATAGTTTAACACGAAGGCACCTCTTCGATCCCTGAGCAACCTTATTTCTCTAATCTACCCTGCAACCTGCAACAAGTAGCCAGTAGTACATCAATTGTAGTGTCACGAATAACACCCCCTAGACCAACAAACATATCCTCAAAGCAGGTTGTATCGGTATTTAACTTGTACACCCCAATTTCAGGAGGTTTCCAGCAATTTGTAGCAGTTATAGGAGCATACAACATGGGACAAGTTTTAATCATATAAATAATACATGTTATTTATTATGCAAGCTAGTCAGGTACTCAAGTTAGTGTATAGAATAGGCTGTGACATGATAAGTTAAACACTGATATGCAAGTAATACATTGACTAGCATAGAACAAGATTGACAAACAACCCAAGTGCTTCCTTGTCACAAGTAAAGGGAACAATTAAGGACAATCCATAAGTAAATTTACGTAAATAGAGGTATCTTACACTTTGATTGTATCTAGAGATGAAATATTCCCATCTTCATTGCTGAAAAATTCATCTTCATCCAAACGAACAACCCTGTAACCACAATTAACATAGCTTAGAACACACCAGAGAAATCGTACGAGAGACTAAAGCATATTTTCATATATTTCTTCCCAAATGACCATAAGTGAATATTTTAAATATCTTGGGTCGATTATCAAGAAAAATGGGGACATTGATCAAGACATGGCTCACAAGATTAAGTTAGGGTGGCTTAAATGGAGAGCGGCCACGGAAGTGTTATGTGACCAAAGCATTCCCTTGAAGTTGAAGGAAAAATTCTACAGGACTGCCATCAGACCAATGTTGCTCTATGGTACAGAATTTTAGGATTCTAAGAAGGAGCACGTTAAAAAGATGGAGGTTACAGAAATGCTCGTTTTAAGGTGGATGTGTGGGAATACTCTAAGAGATAGAATCAGAAATGAGGTTATCCGCAAGAAAATAGGCGTGGCAGGCATTGTAGACAAACTAAGGGAAAATCGTTTGTGTTGCTTTGGGCATGTGGACGGAGACCCGAGGGTGCACCAGTACAAAGAGTAGAAGGGTGGGACCATGGAGGGGTTAAACGAGGGAGAGGGAGACTGAAAATGACTTGCTTAGAAGGAGTTAGGAAGGATATGAAGTATATGGACTTGCATGAGGGTGAGGTATTGGATCGTAAGGGATAGAGGAGGAAGATTTTTGTGGATGACCACATGACATAATCATTTTTGGTTCATGTAGCCGACCCCATTTATGAGATTAAGGATTTGATTGGTTGATTGCTTTTAAACAATGACGTTGTAAAACAACAGGTTAATAACTCTTATTATCTGAACATTATAAAATACAAGCACATGGAGGATTGACACTACTAGACAACCAAAGAATCATGACATAGAAATGAGGAAGAAATTAAGATATCATAATTTTAGTCTTTTGATTTACTATAAAATATAATTGATTTACTTTTACTTACTTTCTATTTACATTTGAAATTGATAAAATAATAGGATTCATTGAGGCATTTTTCAAACAGTTAGTGTGCATTCACTTGATTTAATTTACATTTACATTTGCATTTTTAAGAAAATATAATTTACATTTGCATTTTAAAACTAATTTAATTTACATTTTCATGATATTAATTTACTTTTACCACATTTTAGTCACCAAATTATACAAATAGCATCCAAAATTTACAAAGAACATTCCTAATTTTCATTTGTATTAGAGATTATCAAAATTCTTTAAACAAACCACTCAAAATTTCAAAAGAGCATCAACATTCACAAAAAAAAATCACTATAAAAAAACCGAACAAACACATTGAGACATTCACTGAAAAATAAAGAGAAAAACAAAATTTACAACAAATTAATAGCGGAAACAACAATAATGCAGAAGAGTACGAGAAAATCGAGTTCAAAAATTTATAGAAATAAGATTAAATTTTGAATCATAAAAATTATAAACGTAAAATCTCTCAAATTTGAGCCTTATTTAACAACAAATTTGACGTGAAATGATCAAAATTTCAAAATTAATCAACAAATTATTAAATTTAGCAAGGAAATTAAATATATCACATACCTTAATCTGTTGAAAGAATCAAATTCTTTAAAGTTGGTGAGAATCAAAGAGAGAAAAGTAGTCTGAACTCTAAAGAGAGAGAAAGTGAGTAGTGTTTACGAGCAGGTGAGGGAATGAGCGATATTCTACTTTATGAAGTTTTAATCCAAACCGTTGATCATATTTTAATCTAATGGACCTCAAAGGTGTTCTCATTACAACTTGGTTCTATATATATATATATATATATAACTTGAATTTTATATTAACAAAGACGCCAAGGTTGTTACCCAAGCAATAATCTCTCTTAATTACAACCTTTAAGGGTTTTTTCGAAGAAAATAACAACCTTTAAGTTAGTTCTACAATAATTTACATAAAAATAGAAGATAGTGAACTATAATCTTTATAATGTACAACATATAACTTGAATTTTATACCTAAGCTATATTGTAACATTAGGTAGTTAACACTTTGATCAGCACATGCATGGTTTAGCTTATTGTAGATGTTATTCGAATCGTGCCTACTTAAGCATGTGTGAGTATGCTTGGCAATCATAGAAAGTGAGAATTGACATATACAATTAGGGACATTAAAAGTAGGGAGCCGCCAACAAGTTTTTAAGGAACTTGTAAACTGTTCACGGATCATCTAAGGCAACCACTATAAGGGACAACGAAAGGCAACAACGATTAACCCATGAAGGTTACACCCCATTCATAATCCATGTGATTACTAACTCCATAAGGTTCGAAACCACGAAAAGATGATCGATAATGATGGTACGAAGTGAGTCTTGGAGTCACATTCACCTGTATTGGTCTCAACTCATTCTTATAGTGAAAAGTATTTCCTGCGATCTCAAAGGCATACAAACAAAGATTCAATTTGTTCCAAAATAAATTATATTTGTGATTTTCAATTATATATTCCCCTTAAACATGCAATATGGTGATCAACAATATATAAAATAATTAATAATATTGGAAGCAATTTAACCATAATATAGTTAGTCAAATCATCAAAAAAATATAATAATAAACCCAAACATGATACTAGCAATGTAAAATAAGAGTAAGTAACTAAATAAATTACTCACGTTTCATGCTTCTTTAAAATTGCTACATCAGAATAAAGCGTTAGTAACTTCAATGAATAATAAATCAAATTGAAATCAAATTAAATTAAAGTAGAGTTAACTTAGTCCAAACCTTCAATCGGTCCTACCTTTCACGCCTTCGTTTAAGTAAAGAATTGAAGTTCTGGTATAGTATGGACCCCTTGGTGTGCTTAAGGGAGGAATGATGAAAGTATAATGATTGTTTAATGTGAGGGAAGGAAGAGAAAATTGATGTTGCTTCCCCAAAACTCGTAAATGAGCTTCGTATTTATGGAGGAAATGTGAAAGATGCAGTCTGGAACCCTAGAAAACGAGCGACGCTGAAGAAAAAGGTACCGTGGCACAATACCAAATTCTGTCATTTCTGGAAAAGAAAGCGCGTTAAGAAAATAATCTAAAAAAATCTTGGTTCCATGGCACGGAAATAGTACTGTGGCACGGCATTTAGTACAATGCCATGGTATTTAGTATCGTGGCGTTGTATTTTCTAATTTTTACGCGTTTTTAAAACATATGTAACTTTTGATACATAATTTGGAATAAGGGATATAATAAAACATTGTAAATCTTCTTAAGTCTACTTTCCAACCTAATTAAAATCAGGTCAAAAGCTTTTGTAGTTTTTAAGGTATGGCCGTTTTAGTGCAAGGGTGTTGGTTTTGGGCCAAGTTTTAGTGTATTGCTCATATCTTCTTCGTTTTAAATCGGAATTGGGCTTATGATATATCGTTGGAAATCTTATTTCAAGACCTATCCAACTAAATGATATTTGGATCAAAGTTATGGGCCACAGAATCAGTTTTGCTCGGGTTTGTGTTATGGACACGAAAAGAAGATTATAGTTTGGGGAAATGAGCTAGGAATTGGATTGGTTTAGGTAAAATAAATGAAATGTTGGGCTAAGGCTAGGGTTTTAAGCACTCTGCTGATTCAATACACAGCATACGGAAAATATTGGTTGTGAAAGGTTGTTCATCATCGGGTATGGTTTTGGGGAGACACTTTTAGGTGTCTACACTTAGGCAATAAAATAATTGATTCTTTACATATAACAAATGGAAATGAATATTATTTTTAACTGTTTAACTTTAGAATAAAATGATGGAAATTTTGTACACCTACTTTTGACACGTCATTACTAATATCACTTTTAAGTGCAAGAATATGTATTCTAGCTATATACGTAGTATATTTGTTAGCAAAATAATTTCACTATCATCTTTAAACTATAATTAAAATAAAATGAGTACGACCAAAGAAATAAGCAAAGGATACAAATAAACATAAACAACTTGCTAATAAAATTACTTTAAATTTATATGCTATATATACATCCTCCGTTATTTTTTACTTGACCCGCTTTGACTTTTAGACTATTCACCACCCCTCCTTTGACCGTCTTTTGCGAATAATGCGTAACGAAAAACAAATTCATGATAAATCACATTTATATATGATTTATAGGCACGTTTATGCTAGTTTTATAGTTGCTTTTTAGGTCTTTTTGTCGCTTTTTAGGATTGCAAATGCATAAGTTGTCCATTTTGTGCTCTATTACGTTTCGTTTGTATTTTCTTAATGTTTAAGGTAGTTTCCATAATTATTTGGACGCTTTCGGGGTGGTTTTGGACTAATGGGACAATGAAAGGATGACACGTCGATGAATCAAGGTCGCTCAATGAAAGATATATGTTTATGGAAGCTTAGGTCGAGATTTTTAAGCCTAAAAAAAAATAGCTTCCACGAGAGTCGATACGCACCTTTCAAAGATGAATTTGAGTTAAAACGGGAGAAAAACGATGGTTTACAAATTATCAAAAATGACCTTTGCTCACTCTTTAGATCATAACTTGGGTTCTACAGATTGGATTGAAGCGATTCAAATTGCATTAGGAACTACACCTGAAAAGCCTTCCAAAGATAGATCACACGCCCCTATACGCTTCCTATAACTCAAGATATAGCCCCTAAAAGACGACCCTACGAACCAGATACAACCAGCGCCGCAGCTCAACACTCCCAGGCCATGAGCAGCTTCTGTTTGGCCCGATGGATACCCAGCGGCCGCTGGTTCCCATGCCCAGCAGCAGGCCTCGTTTTCGAGGCTCGTATTCCCATCATCGCAACAACCTTCTTCGATTATGACTCCTTTAAATCGACGACCAATCATTTCACGACTTATGTAATTGCTATTTTTTTTTATTTTTTTTTACTTTATTATCTTTAGATTAGTTTTAGGATAATATAGATACTCAATGGATATTATTTTTCCCTTAGGCCGTTTATTCCTATTATTTTTTTACGTTCTTTTTAAATTTCTCTCTAGCCCTAGTTTGTCATGGACAATTCCATGGATTACTCCATGGTTTTGTTCTTGAGTTTGTTACTTTAATTAATAGAGGTAATTTTATTTCTTTACTTTAATTATATTTTTTTTAAATAAATTTAGTTTTTATTATTTATTTCATATTTGAGTAGTTTAATTTCTAGGGTTTGGGAATCCATGTTGATGCTATGAATCTTGATTTATATTTATTCATGGTTTGATTATTCTTTGATTTCTCTAATTGATAGAGTTTATATATTTAATCTTGCAATTTGATCAATTGTTTAATTAATTATTGATAATAAGAGTTTGAATCAAAAGATCTTACTTTTAGAGGCTTACCTACACTGAGCGATTTTGATTATGTTAGCGACTAAACTACATATGTTCAATTGAGAGCGTTAAGACCCGACCAAAGGCTTAGAAATTACTCTAGGTAATTGATTGATTGAATTGTTATTGATATTTGATAGATTAGAACTGTAAACACGGTGAACCATAACCCTAGGTCTTTTAATTAATTGTTTTCTTCATATTTTAATTTAGACTACTTTTCTGTCCAATTTCGTGACATAATTTAGTTTCTCCAATTCCTTAGAAGTTAGATTGAATAGACATCTATCTGTGGATTCGACCCTACTTACCCTACTACATTGTTAGTTGGTTTTGTTAGGAATTTATTTTTGACAGGTGTACGACAACCTATCAATTCATATACATGGGATCTTGTTAGAATCGTCTTAATAATAAGTTGCATTATCCATGAGTATACCGAAGCTTTAGGCATTCCTTAGGCAATCAAGATTCCTCTCTCGAGTAGTTTTAGACAACCATACAATACCCGAAGCTCCGTTGATGGTCCATAGCGTGAAAACTATAATTCGTGAAGCTTTAAAACCTTAAATCTCTTTTCTTTAATTAATTCATTTGATTTATTAATTGAAGTTTACTAACATTCTGTTCGTGATGTAGTTGCAAGGTTACACAATCCAATCAATTAAATTAGTTATCCTATTAGTTTAATTAATTCTATGTGTTGTTCCTTGCTTAGTATCATGTTTAGGGTTGTTTTAATTATTAGTATCATGTTTAGGGTTGTTTTGATTATTAGTATCATGTTTAGGATTTTTTAATTAATCTTGTTAGTATCACGCCTAGGATTTTATTAATAATTACGTAATATCATGTTAATGATGCTTTGATTTTCACTAAGTTGCTTCCAATATCATTATGCAGGTTTAGTTGTTTTATTACTGTTAGCACCAGGTCAATTGCATGTTAATTAAGACCTGCATTTGAAAATATGTCTAATAGGATAATCCGGATGGCTTTTTAGGTTTCCAAAAATCTTGTGCTTAAATCCAAGTGATCATAATAATTAGCTTTATATGTGCATCAATATTCAACCAACTTCTTTATTTTGGATCAAATTGAACCCTTGTTTGTACCATCATCCCTACATGCTCCAGCAGTCGTGTTTCGAGACCCTCCAGCCTTAAACGATGTACAAACGGTTTACAAGTTTCTTAAAAACTTGTTGTTGGCTCCTTACTTCATCGTCCTTATTCATACTATATCAAATTTCACCACTTCCTATGATATGCCTAGCATATTCTTGTGTGCGAAGATTGGCGCAATTCATACGACATCTACAATATACACATACGTACAATAACTAGAGCGAATAGATGTATGTATCCTTAATGTGCCTAGTTGTTTCTTTGCTTCATAGGTCTTACTTTCTTTTTCTATAAGTATTTTTTCTTATATCCTCATTCTTGATTAACTAGAGTATAAGCCTTGTCTGCCATGTCATTATTGATAGGCCGTCATCGAGCCTAACAAAGATAAAAACCTAACATGAACTTTCTAATGGATGGAAAAGGCAAGCAAGGATCGATCCCACAAGGACTAAGGGGAGCACTAACAATTAAATATCGAGTTATGATACGCTAAGTTAAGTCTTTTTTGGGTAATGCGTTATAGGGAAAACTACAAATAATAATAAAAAGGATTTTGAAAAAGGGTATCCACCAATCAAGTCATTTACAAACTATAATCTAACGGGAAAGACATAGCATGAGGGGATAAATAAAGAGAAATCATCTAAGTCACCCAAGCTACTCTTATGAGCTAGAAGGGATAGCTTGGATTAAGAGATACAACATATTCTCATGGTTAAAAAACATAATCTACCTCCAGCACTAAAGCATAATCACAATGATACAAACATTCGATCTCTTACTAGAAATTCACATTCTCATGGTCTTTTAGTCAAATAAGCATAAGGGATCCTATAACCCAATTTGATCTCTCGACCCTTGGTTAAGGAAACTAATAATTTGGCTCACAGAGTGATTAATCATAAGAGCGGCTATAATAATGATATCCCCTTTAACTTAACTAATTAACACCCCACAGTAGCTAAATCAAAACATGCCAACAAGTATTTGTGAATTCATCAATGGATTCAACCATCTCAAGTAAAAGAACTACTCACTAAGCATAATAAATTGCAAAATGAAGGTATTAACAACGAATAGCATATAATCAAACACTAATCTAGAAAAAAGACTATAAAGGATACATTAATAAATAAATAATACAACAAAATATGAGAAAGAGAGAGTAAGTGATTCACATTGATATGTATGTGGTATTTAAATGTTCAAATTTCCTTCCTTTAATTCTTCAAATTCCAAGTTTTCAACATGTTTCTCACTTTCACTCTCTAGAAAAATGGGAGTTTCTGTGTTTAAAAGCCCTAAAATGTACCGAGTACATAAAATTCAGAGAAGAATAGTATCTTCCTTCACAAGAAGTCAAGAAACTATTCATAGATACTTCCTTTAAAACATAGGAAGCTTCTTAAAAATAATTAATTAAAAAACTATATAAAAAAAAAAGAGGCATGGTTTCTCTAAGTGATTGGAGAGGTCGTGCCACCTTAAAATAGGTTAGGAAGAATGCTCTGCAGTATTGAAAAGCAGCCTCTCCAAAGTAATGTCGTTGCCACGCTAACGAGCGCGGCTGTGCCTAGCACGTCGACACTTCAGCAGAATCTTCAAACGGTCATAGCTTCTTCATTACTTGTCGAAAAAAGGCATGTGACCAATCGTTGAAAAGCTCTTGTGATGAACTTATCTCCAATTTTAACCACTTTAACATGTTGAGTATAAAAAATGATATAGTCATTTGAAGTTGACCTTTGTGCAAACTCCTTTCAAAACTCTTCCAAATAAGTTTATTTCACTTTGGGGTACTCTTCCATGCTTTGATTGTGGGATGAAGACCTCTAAAGTAAAAAATTACAATATCAAACACATATGATGAAAAGTACAAAATCCTAGAAAATTGACAAAAATAGCTATTATTTACCAAAAGAGTTACAACTACAACGTACAATTACCAAAACTAAGAAAATTAAGCTAAAATGAAAATGTAAAAGGGATCAAAATGAGAGGAATTATGTGGTTAATACTAAGTCAAAATACCACTTATCAATTATATCTTCCACTCCTTTTCTTTTGACTTCTCTTCAAATGATTTTGAATGGGTGTGACTCTAAATAGCTGATTCATCAATACTTCCTTAATTTCTTTATATATTTGCAACACTACTCACTTCATGCTTTTTAATGCACTATTTCATTCTTTAATGTTTTTAGTCATCACTAGCAAGTAAAAATTATAATAATTTCACATTATATAAATAGAAATCAAGACAAATCTAACAAGATTCCCAATGACTATATTATTTTGTAGCTATAAATCATCAAAGGTATACCAAGTATCGAAAGTGAATAGTGCTTAAAGTCAAGTTTTGCAAATAAAAAGAGAAATAGAGCAAGTATTAATGACAAGGAAGAGCAAGAGGTTGCACAACGAGGGAGTTTTAGAGGCAACATACAACATCATATTATGTTGGTGTTGCGTGGCGATGTTCATTCCAATAACTCATTTGTAAAAAGTCGAAAAATAGTGCTTTTTCAAAGAGTTAATTTAAATAATTTAGTTAAATAAGAAAATTTTTACATCCATACCTAGCCAAATACCGATGTCCTTTTTAGTCATTTCATACTTAATTAACAAAATAGCTACAAATCATCAACTAAGTTTACTAAACAATTTTGTACAAACAGCTAATAAAATCAGCTAGTCAACACATCTAATGCAACCTAGCAACTAATGCAACCAGCTTATAATAACCAACTAGTGTGCGACCCGAGTGATGTTTCGGCCTATAATATTATTTAGCTAGATATGCAAGTTAAACTATTTTCTTAATATATGATAATTATCTTGAATATATCATTATTTATTTAAAAGATTTTGACTTTTTTTTTACAAAGGATAAAACAAACTACATATTAGTACTAAAGCAAATTAAATGAACAGCAGCTTCTGCAGCGATTTAATGAGCACGATGAACATGATGACGATCTACCTTGTGAACATTACATTACTAGAAGGTTGAGCCAAGTCATTTAATCTTGCAAATGAGCCAAAGGTAATCAATGTTTCCTTAACCATCCCCTCAAAGAAGGGTAACAAGATTATAGGAATCCGTAAAGACCGTGATAGAATGAAACCCCCGATCAGAAGCCCATTGTAACTCATACATGCAAGCCATTGCCTCCTGCAGGCATTGATTGAAGCGCGCCTACTTAAGCATGTGTGAATATGCTTGAAAATTATAGGAAGTAGGAATTGACAGTATGCTGTTAGATATTTAGAGTGTTGATGGTTGCGTGCTCACGACCATGAAGGAGCGCCTGCGCAAGTTAGGCGCGGCCGCGCAGAGAACGCGCCAAAAGCGTGTGCCTCTCTGGAATTTGGAAAATTGGAAGGGTGAGGATGGCGCGCCTGCGCGTCCTGGTTGGCGCGCCCGCGCTGCTGGTCGCACCTAAACCGCGCCCCTCACTGCCTTTTGTGAAATCTCGCAAGTTTTTGGGAGGATTTGTCGTGGTCATATCTTGAATGGTATGGAGGATGACTTGTTTGATGTCTATCAAAACATTGAGTCGGCTAAGGAGCTTTGGGAGTCCTTAGAGAGAAAATACATGGCGGAAGATGCATCAAGTAAGAAATTCTTAGTTAGCAATTCTAATAATTTTAAATTTGTTGATGGTCGGTCCATAATGGATCAATTTCATGAATTGCAACGTATTTATGGTAGTTTGGAACAACATGGAATAGCCATGAGTTAATTGTTTGTTGTTTCTAATATTATTGACAAATTACCCTCTAGTTGGAAAAGTGTTAAGCATGACTTGAAACACAAGAAAGAGGACATGACATTGTCCGGTTTGGCCACCCATCTTCAAATTGAAGAAGGGATTCGTGCCATTGAAGGAGCTAAGGATGGAAATCCTAGCACATCTACCGTGAATATGGTAGATGAAGGGAGAGCTAGTGCATCTACTAGTGGAAAAAGGAAGAATAATAATTCTTCCAAAGGAAAGTCCAAAAGGCAAGCAAACAATAACAAGTTTGCTTGTTGGGAATGCGGTAAAGTTGGTCACCGCAAGAAGGACCGCTTTTCTTTTAAGAAAAGGATGGATAACTCCAAGGAGGGTCGTGCTAATGAAAGCAAGGACCCACCCACCAAAGGTTATCCAATTCATGAGGTTGAATTTAATTCCGGTTTGAATTTAAATGCAATGGATCCTAACATTTTTATGGTGCAGGATGATGACTCATGGTGGATTGATTCGGGGGATTCAAGGCATGTATGCAAGATAAACACTGGTCAAAACCTTTCAAAAGGTTGTTGATGGAGAAGACCTCTACATGCACTAGACGAAAAAGTTAATTTGGCACCGGTTCAAACCCCCCCTAAGGCACCGGTTTTGAACCGTTGGGGATTTGAGGGGTGCCAAATCCCCAAAAATTTGGCACCGGTTCAAAACCGGTGCCAACTAAAGCAATTGGCACCGGTTAACCGGTGCTAACTACACACTTTGGCACCGGTTAACCGGTGCGAAATGTTAATGCACGCTGTTATTTTTTTTTATTTAAACTTCAATTGGCACCGGTTAACCGGTGCCAAATACGCCTTCAAATAGTAAAAAAATAAAATTATTTCAGCATAAAATTTATTCATCAATCCAATTTATACATTCAATCCAAAACTTGAAATCGAACAAGCTAAGGCTATATTCATCAAATAAATTGTTTTTTTTACAATTTATTAAAAAAAACAGAAAAATTGCTGAAAAATAAATTACAATCCAAAACCCAGAAACTTCGAACTTCATACTCAGCAAATTCACGTCCTTCAAATATGCATCAATTGAAACAATAAAATCAGATAAATTCAACAAAAATCGAACAAATAAACCCACAAAATCGAACAAATAAACCCCAAAAAAATCGAAAATCAATAGAACAAATTAACCCAAAAAATCGAACAAAAATCGATCAAAAAAACCCCTTAAAAACGAACGATTAACCCAGGTAAGTTCAACAAGAAAACCAAAAATAAATAGAAAAAATAAACCCCAAAAAAATCGAAAATAAATCGAACAAATAACCCCAAAAAATCGAACAATGCACTATGATAACCAAAAAAACAAAATATAAATAGAACAAATAAACCCAAACAAATCGAAAGACAATCGAACAATTAGACCCAAAAAATCGAACACAAATCGATCAATTAAACCCCATTAAAAACGAACGATTAACCCAGATAAATTCAACCAAAAAAACAAAAAATAAATAGAACAAATAAACCCCAAACAAATCGAAAAGAAATCGACAAATAAACCCAAAAAATCGAACAAAAATCGATCAAATAAACCCTTTTAAAACGAACGATTTCGCACAAATACACCCTCACAGATTCAACCCACAAAACCCATAAACCTAGAATCGTGAAAAACCCAGAAATCGTGAAAAACCCAGCCAAAATTATGAAAAACCCAAAACCCATAAACCCTAACCTCAAATTTCTGATTTTAGGCATCGACAATGTTTGTTGTGGTTGACGGCAGCGGCTTGGTTGTTGTGTTGGCTGTTGTGCTTGGTTGGAGAGAGAAGAACAAAGATGAGAGATGAGATCAGAGATAAGGAATTGAAGGAGAGAGGCATGCATGCATTCAGAGATAAGGAATTTCAGAGAGCTAAGAGAGAGAGAATGAAAAATGAATTGAAGAAGAAATGAAGGAGTTAAAACCCAGAAACTCGGCATATATAGCTTTGTTTTAAACTCGTTTTATTTTTTTATTTTTTTAAAAAAATAATCAGTTGGCACCGGTTAACTGATGCGAACTCTATTCTTTTTTTTTTGTAAAAAAAAAAAAAAAATTATCAGTTGGCACCGATTAACCGGTGCGAACTCTATTCTTTTTTTTTTTAAAAAAAAAAAACAAATGGCACCGGTTTGAACCGGTGCTAATTAGCGTAATTGGCACCGGTTCAAGTAAGAACCGGTGCCAACTCTGAAATTTTAACTCGCGCTCGTTTTAGTTGGCACCAGTTTTCATGAACCGGTGCTATAGGGAGGGTGCCTATTTAGTTTTTTCTACTAGTGATGGGGAACAACTCTACCATCAAGGTTCTTGGAAGAGGACAAGTTGAGCTTCTGTTTAGTTCTAGGACTGCAATTATTCTTAGGAATGTATTGTATGCTCCGGAAATAAGTAGGAATCTTGTATCTGGGCCTACCCTGAATAGTCTTGGCTATATGCTTGTATTTGAAGCTAATAGATGCATAATTACTAGGGGTGTTACATTTGTTGGTCGTTGTTATTTGGATAATGGTTTGTTTAAACTATCTTTGAAAGACAAGTATGTATTTGATGATGGTTTATGTTTGAATGTTAATGTCAATGATAATCATGTTGATTTGAGTTTGTTTGACTTATGGCATTCTAGATTAGGACATGTGAATTACAATGAAATGTTTTTTATGTCCAAACAAGAATTGATACCTTCTTGTCATATTTCTCCTAATAAATGTTCTACTTGCATGTTGAACAAGATCACTAGAACTCCTTTTAAGAGAGTTGAGAGAAGTTCTAATATTTTAGAACTAATCCATAGTGACTTGTGTGATTTTCATAGTACTCCTTCTTTGGGAAACAAAAGATACATGATTACATTTATAGATGATTATTCTAGGTTTTTTTATGTGTATCTTTTTCATTCCAAAGATGAAGCTTTAACAAAGTTTGATGTTTATAAAAGAGAAGTAGAATTGCAAGTAGAGTCATTAATTAAGAGAATTAGAACTGATAAGGGAGGGGAATATTTTAATCCAGCTTATTTCCAATCTTTGGGTATAATTCATGAGACTACAGCTGGTTATGCACCACAATCAAATGGTAAGCTGAAAGGAAAAACAGAACTCTTGAAGAAATGGTTAATTCCATGTTATCTTACTCTGGTTTGAGTGAAGGGTTCTGGGGTGAAGCAATGTTGACATCTTATCACATTCTTAACCGGGTTCCCACTAAGGGAAAACAATCTACTCCTTATGAACTTTGGTACAAAAGAAAACCAAACTTGAAGTATCTCATCAAGGTTTGGGGTTATAGGGCAATCGTAAGAGTGTCCGGAAACAAGAAAAGAAAGCTTGGTGAAAGGGGCTTGGATTGCATATTTATAGGTTATGGTGAGCATAGCAAAACCTATAGGTTCTATGTAATAGAACAAAATGACTATATATCGATTCATTCGGTTATTGAGTCAAGAGATGCAATTTTTGATGAAAACTGTTTTCATCAATGAGTAGACCGAAAGATCTACAAATCAGTGCCAATGATAGGGAGATAGTATATTTGAATTATCAACTTGAAACTCATGAAAGTACATTTGATAATGAGAATGTTGAAACTTCTTAAGTGAGGAGAAGTAGTAGGGAAAGGAAAATTAGGAACCATCTAGATGACTTCATAATTTATTTAGTTGAAGGATCTAGGGATGTCCTTAGTTCTACTACTCCATATTGTTTCAATGTGGATAGTGACCCAAAGACTTATAGCAAGGCAATATCTAGTCAAGATAGTGCATTTTGGAAGGAAGCTATAAATGATGAGATGGATTCCATCATGGGAAATAATACTTGGGTCATAGAGGATTTTCACTAGGAAAAGGAGACCGGATGGCTCCATAGTGAAATTTAAAGCCAGATTGGTTATCCAAGGCTTTAGGCAAAAGCATGGTGTTGATTATTTCGATACCTATGCACCGGCTGCAAGAACTACCTCCATAAAGTTATTTATTGCAATGGCTTTGGTATATAATCTAATGATTCATCAAATGGATGTCAAAACGGAATTCCTTTATGGAGATCTAGAGGAAGAAGTGTACATGAAACAACCCGAAGGGTTAGTTTTGGAAGGACAAGAAGATAAGGTATACAAATTGGTTAAGTCATTGTATGGACTTAAACAAGCACCAAAACAGTGGCATCGAAAACTTGATGACTTGATTTTGTCCTTTGGATTCAAAGTGAATCAAGCTGATAAGTGTATTTATAGCAAATTTGATGACAAAGGTCATGGTGTCATCATTTGTATATATGTTAATGATATGCTTATCTTTAGTACAAGTCTACAACAAGTAGAATTGACCAAGGAATTCTTATCCTCATCTTTTCAGATGAAGGATTTGGGGGAGGCGGATGTCATTTTGGGCATCAAGATTATTAGGGACAATGGAAGACTTATTCTAATTCAATCTCATTACATTGAGAAAATGATCAAACGGTTTAATATGTTTGATAAGTGTTCCATGAACACCCCCATGGAACCTAATGTTAAATTGGTTAAGAATTCGGGGAAAACGGTTTCCCAATTGGAATATTCAAGGATAATTGGATCCTTGATGTATGCCATGACTAGTACAAGACCAGATATTGCATTGGCTGTGGGGAAACTAAGTAGATTTACTAGTAACCCGGGTGCACAGCATTGGTTTGTAGTTCGGAGGGTCTTGAGGTACCTTAAGGGTACGTTAGACTATGGTCTAACTTATAGTGGATTTCCTTCGGTTTTAGAAGGATTTTCGGATGCTAGTTGGATCACTTACAAAGAGGATGGTTCTTCTGTAAGTGGTTGGTATTAATGTTTCGAGGAGGTTCTATTTCATGGTCTTCCAAGAAATAAACTTGCATCGCTGATTCCGTTATGGCAGCAGAGTTTATAGCTCTTGCTTCAGCTAGTAAGGAAGCTGAGTGGTTGAGGAATCTCATGATAGAATTTCCTTTATTGTCAAAACCAATGCCACCGGTGGAAATCCATTGTGATTCCAATTCGGCGTTGATAAAAGCTTATAGTCAAGTGTACAATGGTAAGTCTCGGCATATTTCACTAAGGCATAGCCTAGTGAAAGAGCTTATCAATGATGGGATCGTAAGTCTTGACTATGTTCCAACAAAGTTAAATTTGGGGGATTGCTTTACTAAAGCAATGCCAAAGCATTCCATCATATTTGCCATGAATGGAATGGGTTTATGTCCAAAAACACGAATTTGTGAAACCCAATCTAACGCTTGAAGAAACATCAAGTCTTAGATTCAATGTGGTTGAATCGCATTTTTGTTGTTTGATAGCAATGTATGATGACCCATATTGCTATGTTACTTGTGATGTGTAAGGTAGCGTGTATTTAAAGTTCTCAAAGATTTAGAGTTGAGAAGCTCTAAATGAAGGTGTCTTATCACAAGGGCACTATTACGTATATGAGAACCTACTTATATGAGTTCGAAGTTTAGCCGCTTCAAGAAGTCTAGATGGACATATAGACTTTGATGAACTTATAAAAGATACGGACACATAGCTGTATAAAAGTGTCAAGAGATGATAAATTCGATTTGTCTTGTGTGTACTTCACCTTCGAATGGTTGGATATCTCCGCGTCATTCAGTCCGTATGGAAATCATGGGATATGATCATCGTTAAGTGTGTTGTACTAGGTGTCAATTCAATCCGAAGGGACATTGGCATTGATGCATGAGATGTGGTTTAATTGTTAGAAGTGGAGAATGTTTTAAGGAACACTCTAAATGGGGGAGGATTGTTAGATATTTAGAGTGTTGATGGTTGCGCGCTCGCGACCATGAAGGAGCACCCGCGCAAGTTAGGCGTGGTCGCGCAGAGAGCGCGTCTAAACCGCGTACATCTCTGGAATTTGGCAAATTGGAAGGGTGAGGATGGCGCGCCCGCGCTGCTGGTCGTGCCTAAACCGCGCCCCTTACTGCCTTTTTGTGAAATCTCGCAAGTTTTTAGGAGGAGCGCCAGCTCCTCCTTGTGGCGCGCCCGCGCCTCCCTGTTTTGCGGTTTTTTCTGACGATTGAGTCTTTTATTAAAAGACATCAATTCGTAAAAGAAAGGAAGAGAACATAGATTCTTCATCTCCCCAAAAGTATTCTCCACACTTTTTTCTCAAATTTCTTGCAAACTTTTGTGAGAAAACTCTTGCAATTAATCCCATTTTGGTTAATTTGTCATCTTGATTTCGATTCTAGTACTAAGAACGATATTGCTGTCAATTGTATCTCAAAGAGGATTTCCGGTTTAACCCAAGTACCGTGTGGGGGAAATAAACCTCTTTAGAAAAGTGTTCACGCGCCTTTGACAGTGTTTCAAGGATCTAGTCTTACGGGACATTAGAATTCTCATGTTCATGTTCTTTGTTCTTGGCTTGGAGGAAAGGCAAGTTTGATCAACTTCACACTAATGTAGTCTATATAAGTTTCTATAATTTCTTAGACTTTGTTAATACTTGATTGAAATACATTGATTTGTATTTGATATTTACAATTACATTGTAATCATTTATTTTTAGGTTTTGTTCCCACACAATTTTAAGTGTTTTTCTTGTTAGAAATCACTGTAAAACCTAACATATACAATAGGGACAAGGAAAGTAGGGAGTCACCAACAAGTTTTAAGGAACTTTTAAACCGTTCACGGATCATTAAAAGGCAACCACGAATAAGGGACAACGAAAGGCAACAACAAATTGACCCGTGAATGTTATACCCCATTCATAATCCATGAGATTACTAACTCCATATGGTTCGGAATCACAAAAGGAGGATCGGGGATGATAGTACGAAGTGAGTCATGGAGTCACATTCGCCCGTATTGGCCTCTACTCAATTCTTATAGTGAAAAGTAATTCCATCAAACTTAAAGGCATGCAAACAAAG